ACAGCTTATCTCCCTGATGACCATTTCCTCCCCTTTCCCCTCAGCCCTGATTATAACTTCCTTTTTCCTTTCCCACACCTGAAGAAAATTCCAATCAGCTCCTCATACATCATCAGTGCTTGCCCAAAACCTCACCTCTGGCCAGAGGTCACAAAACCACCTGCCATGCTTGTCACCAGTCAGAAGGGAAAGCCCAGCCCAAGATGTACACTTCTCTACATGTCCTCAATAAAGATTTTTTCTTTTTCTTTCTTTTTTTTTTTTTTTTTTTTTTTTTGCCTCTCTAATGTACCAGAAAAACCTAGCAGTATGTCTGACATTATTCATACACTATAAGGCTACTCAGCAGTAGTAGTAAAATAGAACTAGCGTCTGATATACACAATAATGTGGAAGGATCTTAAAAATATTATGTTACTTAAAGAATATCAAACCAAAAATACTGAGTGATACCATTCCTAAGAAATTCTGGAATGGGCAAAACCGCTTTATAATAACATACAAATCTCGTGAATTAGTGGGGGTTTGGAACCAAAGATGTAGGTGCAATTTAAAAATGGTAAAAGGGAATTTACTGCATGATGGAATTGTTCAATATCTTAACTACTATGTTGTCATGTATATGTTTGTCAAAATTCTGCAAATTCAAAAAGGGTCAATTTATGATATATACAATATGTTAACAAAATTTATTTAAAAATCTTCACATATCAACTATTTTCTAGGAAAACACTCATTACTAAAATGAATTTAAGTTGTAAAAATTTTGAATGAATTATTGAGGAAGAAATTAAGATATCAGAGAAATTGATTTGAAAAACTTCAAGATATTGAAGTTTTCCAAGACAATATGTAAATGACCAAAATTGAGGACACAATGTTCTAGAAAGTCAAAAAAGATGTACATTTTTAGGTTTCCAAAGATTGAATTCCCAAAGATAATTTTATAGTAAATCCTTTCAATCTGTTGAGAAACTATGTCTGTTTCACAGCACAGAAAAATAAATTCATTTAATCGAGTTTATAAAAAAATGAAATTAAAAGATTGGTGACAATATGAAATCCATGTAAAACTACAAAACAAAATCGGACTCTGGCCAACCAAGACATCTTAAAAGAATTAAACTGTAATTCAATATGTTAATACAGTTTTCACAAGAAATAAAACTAGAAAAACCACATTGTCCCAGCCTGCGGGTAAGTCCACAGAGACCCTAGAGGTAGAGTGGGGATGGAAGGGGACAAGAGATGCAAAGAATGGAGATAAGACAGAAGTCCGATCAAGTCTCATTTATTCAAGGAAAAAGTATCAAATATGTAGGGTATTGGGGGAGGAGGGAGTTGGGTTCTGAGAGGTAACTTGGCAACAGTGGCAAGACTGAGGGTTATAGGTTAAATCAAATTTTCAAATTTCCCGCCCATGGGCTCATAAGCATAATCCTTGAATAGGCCAAACAAGCTAGGCAAGGTGCTGCTTTAACTACCAAACTTAACTCCTAGAGGGAGTTAAGGTGGTGAGGCCTGCAGATATAAGGTGGCAGCCAATTACAGGGCTTCCCACACCACATAATCTATTAATGGTAAAAGAAATCAGATAAAGAGACAGTTCTGATTCAAACATTTTAAGCTAAGAATAAAAGTTTGTTTCTTAATATATTGAAGTAGAACTCAAAGACATCTTACACAATGGCAAACAATAGAATACTCTTATTCAAGACAAATGAGGGTATCACAACTTTTATGAAGAGTCATGGAAATTCTAATCAACACAATGAAAACTAAATAAGAAGTTTAAATAATGGAAAAACAGAAACAATTCTTTCTGAAAGATGATATAAAGAAAATTCCAAAAGATTCTCTAGGAAAAAAATGTATAAAACTAATATAAGAATTGAGTAAGATGATCATTTAAAATGCATAGCACAAACATGCAAGGAAACTCCCAACATATCAAAAATATAATTTATTCACTTTTCATACTGTACTGTAACAATTTAGGTATTAAGCTTTCACAATAAAAAAAACCTATGTGAAAGTTGTTTTGAGTAATAAGTTAACATGAATTATTCAATTATATCTAATGAGTAAATTATGATTTTTTTCTTAGCTCTCACAAACTAAGAAAACATTTACATCGAGTTAATGAAAAAAATGATTCCATTTACATAAAAAGAAATACAGGTGGCCAAAACAATACTTTAAAAAGTTCAAACCTATTATTGAGTGAAATAATTAAAACTCAAATTGATAAGATTTGTCATAAACTGAATATTTGCCCTTAATTAAAATAGCAAAAAAAACCCTCCCTTAACATCGTTATTGGTAAAAAAAAAAAAAATATGCCAAAATTCACATTTTCATGCTCTTCTGGTGAGAATGTAAATAGCCTATTATTTCACAGTAGCAGCTGAACAACACAGACTAAAAAACAGCTCAGTCATAGGCTTACCCAAGATTTTTAAGGTTGTTTGTTATCATTGTATTTATAATACCAAATAAAGAGAAAAAAACTAGAAATTCAACAAAAGATTGTGTATATACTAATACAATAAATGCATGCAAAAAAGAACTTATGCTGTAGTAAACTATGTTAATGAAAATATTCAGATATATACTATATTTCATATGATTTCAAATTTATAAAGACATATGCCTAGGGAAGGAAAAAAGACTAAAATCTACCATGATGTTCTGTTATTTCCTTCTGACCTTAAGTTTTATTGCTTTTTTATTTTCCTCATCTTTCCAATATTTAAGTTTTCTATAACAATTAGTTTTATAATCTGACATTACTTTTTATTATAAAATCAATTTACGTTTTCCTTGTCGTCAAAATATTTCACTCAAATGTCCTTTCCTGGGTCAGGCCAGTATGTGACATCTGTCTTCCTTGGCTCTCAGGCACCCTGGCCTGACACCTTAGCCATATTCCTATTGGCTAACAAATCTGTCTTGCCCTGAGGCTGCAAGCTCAGAGAGAGCTGGAATACCCCTGTACACTTAGGAACCCTAAAGCAAGCAATAGACTGGCAGAAGAAACATCATGGTTGGCACAGGACACATGGAGTGGTACTGAAAGAAAGGTGAAGCGAGCATGGCTCCTTCTAAACCCAACTGGAATCCAAGAGCACAGACAAGGCATTATGCATATTTAGGTTTCATCTTCCCTTTTCATCTTTCAGTATTATAAGAATAAGAGCCTATTAATAATTCCTACTCACTCAGTGCTATATTAAAATTGTACTCAGATCACTGTCACATTGACTCCATTATGTCATTAGCCCAATCCCAGTCCTTGGTACCTGAGGAGCAGAGAAGCGGGGATAAAGTTGTATGCCCTAGGTCCAACCCTGACCCAGTCTCCGACTAGCTCTACAATTTCAGTGAATGACATAAGCTACACACACACACACACACACACACACACACACACACACACACATTTCTGCATGTATAAAATCACAATGTTATTAGGATTAGCTGAGTTGATACATGCAGCATGTGTTAAAGAAAACCTAGATAGAATAAGGTGCTGGTAACATAATAAAGACTATGCTTCCCAGGCTATGAAGTAAATACATACAGAGACCCTTTCCCCATTCTCATCATGGTCCAGGAAGTTTTTATTTGAAATCCCATGGCAACATTATTGGAATTACGGCAAATTAATTTCAATCTACTGCCTCTAGTGCATCCTATGGCGAGAATAATGACACTAGGACATATTTATAGATACAGGCAGCCAGTTCTGAGTCCAGTCCAGATGAGGGTTCATGGACCAAAGGCCTTGACCCAGGGCCTAGCTTAAATTTTATTAATTTGTGAAGAAAGGAGTGGCTGGAGAATGAGTATGAGAAAGGCGGGAATTACCTGAGTACTGTGAGCCAGGCTGGCTAGAAGCCACAAATACCTCTGCAATACGCGGAGAGAAGGATGTGCAGAAAGACCAATCTGCATAACACAGCCAAGGTAGCAATTAATGTCTAGGGGATAGAGCTTTACTCGGATATGTCAACCTCTCCTGCCCTGAGAAGTCCCAGCCTCTTTGTCTGCTGCATCCTGCTAGGCTTAACCATTTGAGAGACATTGAAGTGAGGCAACAATGACTGTGGCTTCAAAGATTACGCATCAGCCCCTCAGCCAGACCTGTTCACATTGCTTAGAGCCAAGGAAAGGAAAAGAAAATCACTTAGCCAACTCTGTACACATCAGTACACGGAGACAGACAGGGCCAGGTTTAGCCAAAGTGTAGGTAACTGCTCTTTTATTCAAGGAGAGCCATCCAGGTGGCCTTCTACAGATATACTTGTTAATTAATATTTATCAAAAACACATCACCAAAATTCTATGTTTGTTTGTCAGACACATATATACTGGTTGGCTTATCTTTCTTGATAATATATCCTTAATTATTTACTAGAAAAATATCCTTAAAAAATTAGTAATCCAAATGAACTTCCAAGGCTTTCACTTTCACATAGCCCTGAAAGTAGTCAACCACATTCTTGCAATGTACCTTAGACACCAAATTTAAACATGGAAAACTCTAAGCTTAATAGAGATATTATTCTGATGAGAAAATTTTACAGTAAACATGTATTTATTCTTCTACAAAATGAAAATCCACCAAATCACAACATTATTGTTCTTTGTGTTTTCAACAAATAACAGTTCAGAGTATAGACAAAAGTACTTGCTATATCTCTGTCTAGTTTCTTTGACCAAATATTCACAAATTTAATTAATTCAGTTACTAGGTAAAAAATAAAACTATTAAAATAAAAATATTTCTGTATCTGATGCACTTACCCCTCTTTCTCAGTGTATGTGTGTGTGTGTGTGTGTGTGGCCAACCATGCTTGTAAGTCAAGAGAGAACAGTGCTTTAGGGGAAAACTCAGTGTGATGACTAGGTCCGAGGCATAAAATGACATGTTTATGACAAGGCACAAACTGTTGTTATCTCATCTGCAAGATTTTGTTTGTTTTGTCATTTTTCAGTCTCTGTGGAATCCAGATTCAATATCAAATGCCAAGCAACCTCCGTGACATTCTAAGAAACTCATCCTGTCCTCACTGGGGCACTCAATGACTCAGAGTAGCCCAAATACGCCACAGGACACATGGCAGCCGCAGCTGGAAGAGAAAGAGAGAGAGGAAGAGGCCAAAGAGGTATTTTCCTCTTCCTAGCTGTAAAATGCCAACAACAGCTCCTAAATATTAGCAGTGCTTTCGGCAGAGCATCTGCATGCTAGGTGTGTAAAGCAGTTGCCTGCAGTTTATTTCAAAAATATAGAAAAAATAAATGAACAGACCTTTTATTAAGTCATACAGCTAAGGGAACAAAAAGTTTCCACTATCTCTGTTACTAAATCAAACCTATTACCAACTTGAATATAATTTAAAAATAAGACTTGTTTATTTTACTGACAAAAGAGCTCCATTCAGTACACGCATATTCTCACTTTTAATCTATTATGCAAGCTGGGTTTTGTTTGTTAGGATAAGAATTTAACTGTAGAGTAAAACTAGCCCTTATGGAAACATTTCTGAAAACAAGCATATGCAGGAAAATCTCCAAAAGTTAAGGCTTCCTTTTCATCATAACACTATCATTAAGTAAAATGTAATGAACAGCCACCAGATGCATAGAACTATTTCAGGACTAATACAATAAGATTCAGCATATGTCTCTAGACAAAAAACAAGGTTTGGAGTTAAATGGTTTCAGCAAATCTGTTTTCCACCATAAAGTACCAAAATGATTGCACCAAGCGTTTACTTATACTTTTGATGACAATTCAATGCAAATTATAAATGGTTTGAACTAAGTTATCAAATCTGTTGGACCGGAAAAAGTAAAATAAAAATGAAGCCTTCTAACATTACCTGAACCATCTCACAGCAAGAACAAAAATAATTATATGAAGACTTGACTGCACTTAAATACAATATATTTTGATAGTTCTAAATATGCAATGGATGCCTGTTAATTACCTTATGGACTTACAATAAATTTCACTGAAACATAGTTATAATTCAGGGCATTTTATTAAAAGACAATATCTTAGAAGAAATAGAGAGTCAAGGTTATTAACGTGATTATTCATATCCACGTAAAGCTACGCTTTGCTTTGTAAGACAGCAAGATTAGTGAGAATTTCCTTGGTTTCACCAAAGGTACTTTGAGGTACACTTGGTCTCCCAGGGAAATCTGCATTACATACCCATGAGGTATGTCTGCAGGGGTGGAAGAGAGGGCAAGCGGGTGACGTGACATAATCACTGCTAAAATGTTTTATTTGCAAATGATAATTTCTCCTTTCATAAATAGCAAATATGCTTCTCTCTCCCTCTCCTTTCCCCACTCTCTCAGGATATCAGGCAGATAAGAGTTATCAGTAAAGGTCATCCTCAATTTCTGTACAGAAATGATCTGTCTCCGGTATGTAATAAACATTTATCCATGCCTTTATTAGCTATATTGAAGCTGACAGTTCTGTTAAACCATTTTCTTTCATTTTGCTAGGTCATGACGGTTAATGCTGCTAAAAAATCTCATCACTGCTTTTGATCACTGTATTGTCTTCCTGGTATTATCAGAATTTTGTGAAGGTAAGCACTGGCTGGAATGACCTATTAAAGTTACAGCCCGTTGAATCTCTGGTTGTTTTTTTTTTTTTTCTATCACAATAAAAAGGCAAAGGAGTGCAAAGGATAAATTTTCCTCAGAAGGTATATTTAGTTGGGCAGTTGACAAGTTCAGCCAATGCTGAATTATCCACAGCTAGAAGGATCCAAGCATCAAATATAAATGAAACCCATACATAATCCAAAATTTTTATTTTGGCTACATACCACAGTATTCTCAAGATGTAAAAGATCCACCATATTCTAAAAAGCTAAAAGGACAATTTCACACATTCAAGTACCTTTCTCATATCCAGAGACCATTTCTTAGTCTATAAGTGGAAGAAGGAAACACAAAAGCAAGAAGAGCTTTTGATAGAAAATACATCCCCAGACCAACGGGAGGTACGACCGAAATGTGTGATTGCAAAGGGGGAAGTTGGTGTTTCATGTCTTTGTCTTTCCGTCATCTATTTAACTGTTATTTTTACCCAAATTAACTTTTAATAATGTTTCATTTTGAGAAATGTAGAAAACAACAAAGCAGCACTAACTGGTTTACCTTTGTTGCTGGTTCTTATGAGCCTTGCCAAAGATCAAGAAAATACTGTTCAGATTAATTACAAAAATTTAAATATTTCCTTTCCATTCAGTAAATATGTGTGGTGTTCCTGCTACAAGCCAGGCATGACAGAGGTGTTCTAGAAGTACAAAGATATCCATAACCCATTTCTGCTTTCAAGTAGCCCATAAGCACTGGATGTGGTGGCACATGCCTGTAATCCCACAGTTTGAGGCTGAAGCAGGAAGATTGCTGCAAGTTTGAGGCCAGCCTGGGCTACATGGTGAGTTCAAGGCCAGCCTGAACTATGTAGTAAGACCATCTAAGAAAGAAAGAGAAAAGAAGAGAAAAGAGAAATCAAGTAGCCCATAAGTAAGAAGGCATAAAATAGATAGTAAACACAGGGGGACATTAAAGCAGAGAAGCATCTTTCCACCAGAGATCATGGAACAACTTCAAAGGAAAGATGAGGTTCACGGTGACTCCTAAAGAAATGCAAATGGCAGTCATCCAGGTGAAGAAGCAAGAGTAGAAAAAGGAACCCCAGGCAGAGGAAAGGCATGAGTTAAGGCACAGGTGTGCGGCAGATTGTGTATCTGGAGACCACGGTGATCTTCGAATTGTCAGGTCACAGCAATTATAAGGATAGAGGACAAGAGAGGGAAAGAAAAGACAATTATAAATCAGAAAAGTGGGTAAAAAACAGTGTTTTGGGGGCTACACAAGGAGCTTAAATCAGTCATCCTTCCAATATCATTAATATACAATACATCAAGAACACTATTCCTTTTGATTCATTTAATTTTTTTAAGCATCTGCCAGATAAAAAGCACTGTTACAGATGGCAGAGGTAGGGTGGTAAACAAAACCAAGTCCCTAAACCCATGATTTGCTTATTCTGATGGGATGTGAGGCATAAAATCAAACAACTTACGGCAAGCACTGATAAACTCTAGTATGGAGAAATAAATTAAGCCTGAAGTAAAGGGGCTGGAATGTGAGGCACAGGGATGGAGCACAGCATAATATTTTACTAAGTGGTCAGCCCAAAGAATTCCTAAAAAGTGATATATGAGCAGAGCTCTATGAATGAGAGTGAAAGATGTGGATATTTGAGAGAATTGCTTTGAAACAGATGTGATCACGAATGCCAAGCTCTTATAAGGGCAGCGTGTTTGGTGAGTCAATGGAACACAACTGTTAATTATGCTGTATCAAACTGACTAGATTAAGAAATGCCTAAGAGATAAGTATAGCACAATTTGGGGTGACAGCAAAGATGACTGGCATGTGGGCTAGCAATCTGAGGGGGAAAGATCCACTCCAGGTGTGGGTGGCACCAACCAATAGGCTTGGAGCCTAGATAGAATAAAAAGGGAAAGGAGGCAGTATGCTTGTTCTGGAAGAGCTCCAGGTTCTTCAGCCCTCCAATAGAGATTTGCTCCTGCAACTCTCCAGTGCACTTCTAGGTCTTCGGCTGTGGACTGGTGCTGCACCCTTGACCCAGCTGCTTCTGCATCTTCCATCTTCTTGGGCTCAGCTGCTAATGCATCCTCTGGCTCTCCTGAGACACTTTTCCACACTTTTTGTACAATGATCCGAATCAATACACATGTAGTGTTATATGTGTGTGGCTTAATGGTAGACCCTGACATCAAAATCTTAACTTCATGAAATGTTTACTATTTGCAATATACTCTGTTATTCACAATTCTATTATTTTAAAATTTTGATCACCATCTATCAAATGTATTTGACAACATACTAACAGGTAACAATCTACATTATAGGGGACACCTAGGTAAGGCCATGGAGATTATCTGGGGGAAAAACTACATATATTTTCCAAGGAATCCGATACCTGGCCCATACCATTTGATACCATCAGGCACATAAGCATTCTAATGTCATTTGGTGAGTGAATAAGTAACTTGATAATCAGTAACTTGATAAGGCCCACAGAATGAAAACTTCAAATTGCTACTTTTGTGCCAAAATGAAACTATAACAACCACATGAGTTTTAGATCATAGCTTGTCACCAGCTTCACAATAAGTTACTCAGAAGTTAATAAGTAATTGAGAATCACTTCTCAAAGTGTACAGTTTCCTCAGAAAGACTATTGGAGGTAGGAGGAGAGTACTCAAATTTACTTTAGAAAAACTATGGACATTTTCTGGAACTGGACTATTTTATGATAAAAAATAAAATAAAATAAATTGGAAGTAAGCTCTTTTAAAAGTTTATGGTTGTTTTATGGAAATTAATTTCTTTTCCCTAACGTAGATTCTAACAGAGTATAAAATCATGGATTTAAGTCTGATAATGTGTTCGAGCATATTTAGAAAAAATCAAACAAACTATCTGTGAAGAGTACAACCCCCTCATGAAATTAGCTATGTTTTCTAAAATAACTGAATTGGGGTTCAGATAATCCTATCTTATTCTATCAAATAGTTATTGCTAACATTTGCAGTTCTAACTACTCTATATATAAAATATTACTCTATTAAATACTAATAATAATTATGTGGTGAAAGTATTATTACCATCCCTATTTTATAAGCAAAGAAACAGAGGCACAAAGAGCTAAATAAAAAAACTTACCATCAGCCCTCTGGATCCATGAGTTCTAAATACAGGAATTCATTATGAAGTACTCTTCTGCCATAATGAAGGGTAAACTTGAGTCATTTGTAGAAAAACGAACACACCTTGAAACCACAATGTTAAGTAAAATAAATGAGACACACAATTTTAAATATTGCATAGTTTCTCTTACATAAGAATCTTAAATTATAAAGAGAAAAATAAAAGCTAAGAAGCAAGAAAACAGATCTTTCTCAAGTAGGAGGCAGATCAGGAAATAGGAGGGGGAACGAGAGGGAAGGGGAGTGGAAAGGGGAGTGGGCATGTGATGTGGACACGTGCCAGCTCCACAGTGTGACTACCACACACTGCGAACGTGTACTCACACAGAATAAGAGGGGGAAAGCATTGTGTCTGTACTGAAAGTGTACAGATTACTTGTCATTACTTCCTAAACAACAAAGTCTGAGTGCTATTAACATAGCATTTACATTGTCTTAGGTCTTATAAGCAATCTAGGGCTGATGCTATCCATACAGAAGTATGTGTGTAGATTTAAGGCAAATACTATGCCATCTCACATAAGGATTGAACTCTTGATTTTGCCAGGAGTCAGGGGGCACAGTTTCCTAGAATCAATCCCTCAAGGATCAGTAAAGACAATTACTGTGTGCCAATCCCTACAATTCCATCTATATATTAATCTGTTTAATTTTTTATAACAGCTTCATTTTATAAATATGAAAACAGGTACAGGAAGATCTAACTTTGTTGTAATAGAACCGGCCAGGACTGTAAGTGCCAGAGCCTATCTGCCTGATAACTACGCCACTCTTCCTCCTTTAACTGTATTATCTGAGCCCAGTTTGCACTGTAAAGTTATGATCATACTTGCCAAAGTAAGACCTGAGCAAACATGTGAGCTCCTCAGGAGATAAAAATGGCCCTGCCATGCATATTCTGCACAAATCATTATGTCAGAATGTAACTTACCTTGCCGTCAAGAACTTAAAAAGCACAACTTAAAAATTTTATTTTATACTTTGCCCAATAAAATTCCTTGTTAGGATTTTTAAATAATCCTTAATTCAACTATTATAATCTTTCACTTGGCTTTTCCTCTTGTTCTCCTTAGACCCAAGTTTACAATATTATGATGTTACACTAAAAATAAAAATAGCACATGAAATAGACTATGTGAAATAGCCTATTTCACATCTCATTTTTAAAAACTGATATGTATCTTTAAATGTTCACTAAGAGATGCAGATGTCTAAACAGCACTTACAGCTTTATTAAAAAGGAAGAATTTCTGTAGTAATTTCTAGCGTTTGCTGTTTTCTTATCCAGCACTTAGTACATACATCCAAAGAAAGAATGTGATGTTGACCTTGATGGACTGCTCCTTAACCTAAGCTATGTTCTTCATTGTCTTTACAGTGGTCAGAATCCATTTCCTAAGGAGACTTTGTTTTTCATGGAGACTAAACATATACATTCCAGTAATAATAATTTGTGTTCAAATGCTCTATCAACACAACTTGGGGACGAAGGTTGGTTCTAACAATGATAACTGTTTTTCACCATCCTGAGTAAAGATCAGACAATACGCACAGAATACCACACTGACCTCTGACCTTCATCCTGAAAGTCACTAGGCTCCGAACAAGAGACAAGATCCTACGGTGATATGAATCATGAAGGGGAACTTTAAACTACAAGTGGTATTTCTTTATGAAGTTATGTAGCTTAAACTCTGATCTGAGATATGCTCCAAAATTGTCTTATGAATAGGTAAAGATTTCAAAATCTGAACATAATTCAGAGGTTGAAAAAAAATAAGCAACTGAAATATTCACTTTCCTATGGTGGTAAGGTGTTTTTAGATCCACTGTTCTCTGAGAGCTTTCCACAGTTTGGATCAAAATGAATACAAATCAAAGGACCAAATGCTTAGTAGCTCTACTAATATTTCTTGTTATTTTTTAAAGTAAGTTTTGGAGACAACCCACAATAAAACTGCAACATGGTCAGGTTGCCCTCATTTAACTTTACTCTGCTAATATCTATAACCTTAAGACTCACTTCCAAATTAGTTTTACAGAGAAGAAACTGTATTAATCACATGCTTCTTTTCTCTCTTAGAAATAGCCTAAAGCTCATTTTAACAGCTGTCTTCCAGATGTTTTACTATAACATGAGGTTACAGAGCAAAAGTATAACAAAATTTTCTATACAATTCAGTAAGACAGACTAAGATAAATCTTTACAGTATGTTCTATTCCATGCTATGTCAAGATTAATGCACCTCATTAATTCATTTTTAAAATGTTACTGACTTAAACTTCAGAGGGAGGAGATCCTCTCATGGGTTAACAAGAAACAAACACATGAGTAGGAATTTGCTCTTGTATAAAAGAATAATCTGCCTCTTCTTTTACAGGATGGCTTTAAACACTATCTGATATTGAACAAATAACTTAGATGAAAGACTTAAGTCCAGCAAAAACCTAAAAAGAAGTGTCCAGTCACAAAATACAGAACAGAATGGAGGCATCAGCATGCAACAACTCCACCACAGCTAGTCTCTATCAGTTAGTGGAAATGTCCTTCCCACTTTTCAGGAGGAGACAAGTAGTCAATAGGAAGGAAAACTATTGATCTACTTACAATTTTAATACAACCTTGAAATAAATTTTGTTTAAAACCCAGAAGCCTGATTCGGTATAATAGTTAAATTACTGACTCCCGGGCAAAACAAAAATCCTACATTTAGGCAATTATCAGCATGACCCTTTATTTGATGTCTAACAGGCTGTTCAAGGAAGACCCTGATAGTCTGGCCAAAGGGAAACAACACATCAAGTAGCTCAGTACAGGCCAAGCAAAATGAAGCCTCCCAGTATGAAAATATTAAATTATTATGGCTCCAACAGGGGGCATAGTTGTTAGTGGCCCCCTCCCATTTATGGCCCTGCTCCTTTCTTCCCCACAGTGAGTGTTCATTGTCATACTTAATATTACAATGCTTTGATAATAATAAGATTGTCAAAATAGTAGCAGGAAACTTTCAGTAGAAACTCAATTTTCAAAAACCAGCTGTGTTCAAACCTAACTGATCTAAGGAGATGTCTTCAAAAAGCAAAAATTCTCCTGTTTAAAAATTAGAACAAAGCTCCTACTGTACATAAATACAAATACACAGGGTCTAAGCATAGCAGTACAGTGCGCATTGTCAATTCAGTACCACAAACAGAGAATGAATGCTACAAGACAGTCAAAATGGACTGCAGAAGGAATAGGGGAGCAGAATGCGAATGAATCTTTCTTAATCTAACATTCATTTGGGGCGGGTGTGTTTTCCTCTGTCCAAAGGGCTTTAAGTGGATGCACAGAAGCAGACAAGGTCTTAAATCAGAAAACGATCACCCATGTGGACATTATTGATGGCACCTTGTTAGAAGGAATTTAGATTTCTTTATTTCCTTTCATTTTGCACAACATTTTACTCAATAGATTCAGTGAGGTGGGCTGTAATGTGGTTTTTTCTTTTTGAAGAACACTAGTATTGTTAACACGTTCAATATCTGTACTTCTTAAGGTTGATTCAGAAAACCTTGCTCTTTTGTCCCAATAAAATAATGGTTTTAGGCAAACTCTACCCTTTTGCTTTCTTTTCATAGTCAATGCTATCAGATGCTCAGTCATTTTAAAGTTTTTTTTTTAAGTGCTTACAGATGAAAGAAAAAAGTAGCATTTGAAGACCAAAGCTTTGCAGCTGGCTACTGATAAAAACAGTATTGTAACTTGCTGGCATGGACCCTCTTAGAGTGCCCTGAATACAGGTCAAAAGGCTCGATGAATTCCGAAGTCAGCCTTAAATTACAACCTTCATACAAGTAAGCCCTTACATGCCACCCAAAAGGATTCCCATTTTTTTTCCTTTCTTAGTTACATAGGAATGGACAGAATTTTATTCTGCTTCCATGCACAGATTCCTATCGTTGTCTCCATTAGCACTACTGAAATGTAGCTATTCCGGATATTGTTCAGCTGACAGCAATGGTGAATACTTTCTTAAAGAGGAATGCTCAATCTATCTTTAAAATAACATATTATATGAGAAAAATATCAAAGTAAAATTTTTTTAACTGGAAAAGTATATAAAAAGAGTAAGAATTGTTTATTTCCAATTTGTTATTCCATGATACAGCAAATACTTAAATCACATTATGTGGCTACATTTGATTTATTGTTCTTTGCCACTCACAGTTATGTTTCTCATTTTCATGGAATTAATTAGCAATTTCTTGTATGTTTCTTCAAAGTATTGTCTTTTGTATATGTTTACTTTTATATATAGATTGTAGATTTCTCAAGGTCAATTGCCATGTCTTTTACTGGCTTTTTACATGTTTCCAAAGAAGCTTCCTTCTGTCCAATGTAAATATTCAGCAAGATAGCTGACAGATTACAAAAGGAAGAAAAGAGATTTAACTAGACTATAGAACAACTTCCTAGTAATGATCACTTTTGCAATAATAGAATCTGAAGAGGAGAGCTATGTTATAAACTATGAAGCATTTTAATTATAAAATATAATATTTTATGACAAAATAAGTCTTAAAGAAAAGAAAAAAAGTAAGAAAACATGAAGAGGCACATTAGTGCTTACCTTGAATGATTCAATCCAAGTAACACTTCTATCTTATTAATGAATAGCCAAGCAAGGGGATGGTACAGGGAAATGAAGATAAACAAGAATTATAGATTGTGTTTCAGAATGAAAAAAGAGAGGTATTTACCATTGAATCCTAATCTCAATTAATCTATACAAATAAAGAAAATTTCTTTTTCTGTAGGACAGTTTGACTGACATTTTACCATATTCATTCATTCAACACAAATTTTTTAACATCTACTAGGAACTGAGAATATAGCAGTGAATGACACAGGTAAAACAGCACTGTGTTGAATGAATTACATTTAGTTCAGGATAACAGACACAAACACTAGACATTTAGTAAGTCCTTAAGGAATGTTCATGTAGGAAAGGGAAATTGAGAGTTCATTGAGAAGGAAAGATAATTGCAGTGAAGAGCAACAGAAGATGCTTCTATACCAAGACCATCAGCAGTGGTTGTTTCTTTAAAGGAAACTGCGAACCCTTTACCTATCTCATATTAAACCCAAACAGAATGAATCTCCAATTTAATTTTCCTGAGTCATATCACAAGCATCCAGTGACCACTCAGATGCCACCCAAACACAGGCAAAACAAGAATCTCACAAGGCTTCCACATTTCACAGATAGTACACTGACTCAGAGTGACCTGCAGTGGCAAACGGATAGTGAACCTCAGTGCTAGAATGTCAATACTGGTCATTTTTACCACGCTAAAGGATGCTTTCCTGATAAAAATTTAAAACAATCAACAAATAAAAGCACAGGAAGAAGACAAAAACCAGAGAATATCACTTATTGAAGGATTTTACTAAACATAACTCTAAAAACTAGAACCAGGTAGTCAAGATTAATAGATAAACTTAGCACAGTTTTAAAAATTACTGAATAGGTTCCAACCTTAAGAGTAGTCTTTGGGAAAATTCAAAACTTTTGATAATGGAAAAAAGGGTCAAAAGGGAAGTCAAATCACCCAAATCACACTCTTCTCCAATTCCAAGTAGCCCCTGAGTAATTTGAAACATGTACTCTATGTTGATGTGTGGCCACCTACCAAGTAGATCAGGCTGTTCTCTACTGGTTCTCCAAAGCTTGTTACCTGAAAACACCGTGGAATTCTTATTTCCATTGCTTTATTCCTGTAATGTGGTATTTTATTAAACACTTCAGAATAAACTTCACAATAAAAGGATTTTTGAAAGAATCAGTCTGTCAATAATTTATTGAGGGCCAATTATTGCTACATAGTGTGCTCAAGTCTAAGACTATTGTACAAAACAAGGCAAGAAGACTGCATCCTCAAGGAGGTTTACATTGCAGGGAGAAGTAGTGAGTAATAAATATTTACATTAATAAAGAAAAATTCTGATCAGGGCTATGAACACAAAATAGTATGGCAGGGAGTCGGGCAGACTTTCATAAGATTAACAAAGTGACATTTGATGTAAGATCTAAATGTCAGGGAGAACTGATAGAAGAATTTCTCAAGGCAAGGGTACAATAAATAAAAAATTCCTGAGGTGGAAATGAGTTGAGATGTTCTATGCACAGAAAGAAAACCCGTGGTGCAGTTTCCTAGATGAAAGAGCCATACAGGGAGATGGGCAGGACCAGCACATTTAATGAGCCTGGGTGTTCTCCCACCCCACCTCACCCCCACTCCCTGGGAGAGGCAGGCAGTGGGTACCTGTCTGATACTCTTGACTTTCAAGACAGTGAGTCAAACACATCCAGCAGCAGCAGCCTCCCCACTTATACCTGGTCATTACCTGTGAATATCTGGGACCCTGAGATCCTAATCAATATAATGGAATATGACATGACCTTTTCAGGTTCACCTCAATGCTTGTGGCCTCTCCACCCCAG